TATATATTTATTCATAAGATTCAAATGTTAAAATTGAGACTGTAAAATATTAAAATTAATTTTTAATATTTGAAATAGATTTGATATATAGTTTATTTCATTACGTTACAGCATGTGTTCAATTATTGCTTACACACGGGGCACCTGTAAAGGTGAAGAATCTAGCTGGTTGGAGTCCATTAGCCGAAGCAATTAGTTACGGAGATAGAATAACCAGTTCGTATGAAATAATATAAAATAGATTTAGAAATTACCTATTTTGATAAGAAATATATTAGTTATAAAAAAAATAGTTAAAATTTAAGTTTTAATTTCTCTTACTTAATTTACATTTTGTGTAATGTATTGTAACATTTATACAGAGAGAGTATTTCACTAATAAATTGGCTGTTAGATTACTCAGATAATTTGGGAAAAAGTTCCTAATATAAAGCATTAATTCCAGTTTTTCTAAGTTACAAGTGAATTTAAATATACAGATGATCTAGTGGAAATGATACATCTTATATGATTCTATAATTATAATGCATAAGATAAATTTAAAAATGTCTTTCGTAGTATCATCTTTAGTACGTAAATTGAAGCAACAAGCGAGAGAGCAAATGGAAGAAAGAAGGCCGAATTTAGTTGCTGCGTTGCATCAAATGGGTGATTTTTATATGGAATTAAAATGGGATTTTCAAAGTTGGGGTGAGTTTCGATGAAATTGAGTGCTGATTAAACCCAAAACTATGAATAACTTATAGATACTATTTAAAAAACGTTTTCCTTTTATTAAAAATTGTATAAATACCTATAAATGCCTATGAAAAAATTAATATATACGCTTATGAGCAAACTAAAAAGAATTTGTATATAATTGTCGATATCCTCTTTACAAAAAATCTTTGAGAAGAAAGTATATCTTATTAAGTTTATTAAAAATTTTGCTAGTAATGATTCAGTCAAATGACTTATTTTATTTTGTATATTCTGCATAATTCTTTATATTTTCTGTCAGCCAATGATAAATTCGTTTGTTCTTTCAGTACCGCTAGTCTCGAGAGTGTTGCCGTCAGATATATGTAAGATCCACAAAAGTGGAGCTTCAATTAGAATGGATACGACTCTTGTAGATTTTAACGATATGAGGTGGGAGAGGGGTGACATATCTTTCATCTTTAATGGTGACCAAAAGCCTAGCCATTCATTGACTGTCCTCGACAATAAAGCCAAACTTTTCCAAAGAGTGAGATATGAGGTTAATAGTACATTAAATACATTTATTTTCTTTATGTTTATGCTTTCATGTGTATAATATGCAAAAAACTTATTTTGTATATATCTATAAATTTTATATTTTATATTTATACATAATGGAAACTCCACAGATATTGATAGATGTCTTAACATATACATTTATTATATACTTAATAAATATGACTAATTTG